TTATTGCTGGCAGCGAACATAAGAGCGAAGACGATGGTGCCTGGTGTGCCATCAGGGGAGGGCAGTGCTGGTAAGCGGGACTGATAGGTGGGACGCCAAGGCCACGTTATCACCCGGACCCTTGCCCCACGTTTACCTGACCGTGTGTGGCAAAAACAAACCAGAGCCAGGTCCCAAGTTTTGCGCGTCCTACATGCCCAAGAGCTTCAATTACTAGGCTTATTAGCAATGAGTAGCTTGTATTTTAAGAGTAGTAACATGTACTATATACTGCATTTAAAATCAGGGAAAAAACGGTATAAAAATGATGTACATACATGGAGGAAGCATTGTTGTCGTCGTCGCCCACAGCGAGCATACAGGCGGGAGTGATGGTGCTGTGTGTGCCATCAGAGGATGGCGGTGTTGATGGCAGGGCTGATGGATGACACTCAGATAACGGAGCCATCACTGTGATGGAGGATAGCGCCTGGGGCATATTGCTTGGAGAGGGCTTACAGGTGTAGGAGTGATGTGGACTTGCGTTTACACACCATGAGGGATACTGCATGGATCTAATCTGAAGGCGGCGCCGACGAGGTCTGGTGACTAGTGCGTTAGCTTGTTCAGCTAGCCCAAATAACCAAGTGTATTAGTAACTATACTAAGATACTGACGAAGGCTTACCTAGCCCAAATAACCAAGAGATTGAGATGGGGCTAGGTAGCGACAAAGGGGCCCTTTATATACTGTTCAGGTCGCGCACGGACCAGGCATTACCTAAGCGACTGTGGCTACGGTGACTGCTAGTATCTAGGGGACTTTGGCGGGAAAATGAGGGCCGTTATATCATATTGTATGATGTTGTTGGGCCGACGGGGATCGGGTGTCCGTTGCTGATCGGACTCGGAAATAGACGGGGACCGGTGCATCATGGCATATGACGTTATCGGGCCGACGGAGATTGAATGTCCGGTGTAGATCGGAGCGCGGCTGTTACTGAGGAAGCGTGATGCAGTGACGAGGCAGCGGCGATACAGGCGCATCTGATGCGCTGATGCGTGCCCGTCGGTGATGTGTTCTCAAGGTGTTAGCATGCGGCTAGGACTTGTAAACTGGCGCCGATGCGCCGACGACGTTTGGAGGGTCGTACAAACGTGGAATAAATCGTAGAAAATTGGGGAAAATGGAAAAATAATAGGAGGCCGGGGCTACGCCCACAACAAGGAGGGGTCTTCCAAATGCATACTTGGTATATTTTAGAAAAATATCAGCGTGCTAATGGCTCTTACATAAATTGTGCGAATTAGCGTGGCAAACAGAGGAGGGAGGAGTATGTCACGCTTATAAGTTTTCAAATATGTAAGCTCCAGGTGATTAGCTCTGTCGGTTCTTTGCATTTACGCGAGCAAGAGCAGATGTATGTCGGAGCTGTGCATCTAATAGCACAGGGATGAGAACTTGTACTTTTTCTTGGCTTTTGCTTCACGATGGGCATTAATTAGTCTCATTCCCAGCTATTCTAGCGCGCCCGGACTTCGCCGGTTGGAGACTGCATCGGACATCAATGGTGATGTGCAGTTTCTTGCTAGAATGCCTGGTCCACTTGGATCATCCGGGGGGGGGCCTCATTTGCACGTGATCTACACACTTCCTGAGGAAGTGACCGCCTGCACACTGCCAAGCTGCTGGTGATGAGTAAAGCATTCGTGTATGCATTCAGAAATATATGTAAAAGTGCCTCTGATATATATTTGAATACATTTGTGTTTTTATAAGCCTCCTGCAACGGAAAGTACCACTGCAGCCCAAATAGCCACCAACGGCAAACTATGGGTGCAGTATGTGTGCACGTCAGTCACGTGCGGATGAGACCCCCCTGGATGATCTAAGTGGACCAGACGCTCTAACGAGCTAGTGCACTTTACTTTCAAAGTCCGATGTACTGGCCGACAGTGTTTACACGTTGGAGTTAAGAGCAGATGGGAACGAGACTAGGTATTAATGGGACTCTGAGAAATCTGAGAGATGCACACAGAGGTCATGCGAATCAGATTCCATAAAGACGCTTGTTCAATCTACATGACAGGCTTAGAACTTAGTTGCGTCGCGTCGCGTCACTGAGCTCCAACCCACATGGCGGCATCAGACAGGTGCTAATGCAGGCCTTCGAAGCAGATGAAATTGGCTCAGAATATCTTAATCAGATTTGAATGGCAGCCCTTAGTTCTGAGCAGTGCAGGTTTTCACTGGGCTTCAAACTTGGTATTACTGTAGACAGTACCCATTGGAATGATATCCTACAGCTGATTCTAGTATTATACTCATATGTATATACTACACACAAAAAACTGTAGGGTGGTCCAGTTCCTGATTGGATACAGTATTTTCTGAGGTTGAGGTGTCAACCCTTGAGCGAGGTACTTTTCAGCACTTGCAATTGTGCCTTCCCCTCGGCCAGCTGGCCGTTGGCCAAGCGCAAGCGGGCGGCAAGTCTGACCCAGCATTTCCTGAAAAGGTGAATCAAATGTGCGGTCAGACTTGTCGTGGGCGTAGCCCCGGCCTCCTATTTTATTCCCATTTTCTCTGATTTATTCCACGTTTATACGACCCTCCAAACGTCGTCGGCGCATTGGCGCCAGTTTACAAGTCCTAGACGCGCGCTAAACACTTCGAGAACGCATCACTGACGGGCACACATCAGCGCATCAGACGCGCCTGTATTGCCGCCGCCCCGCCACCGCATCACGCTTCCCCGGTAACAGCTGCACTCCGATCTCCACCGGACATCCGATTCCCGTCGGCCCAACAACGTCATACGCCATGACACACTGGCCCCCGTCTATCTCCGAGTCCGATCGGCAACGGACATCCTATCCCTGTCGGCCCGACAACGTCATACGCTATGACACACCGACCCCCGTTTCCTCGCCAAAGTCCCCTAGACACTAGCAGCCGCCGTAGCACAGTCGCTTAGGTAATGCCTGGTCCGTGCGCAGCCTGACTAGTATATAAGGACCCCCTTTGTCGCTACCTAGCCCCATCTCAACCTCTTGGTTTATTGGGCTAGGTAAGCCTTTGTTTATACAATAGAATAGTAACTAATACACTTGGTTTATTGGGCTAGCTGAACAAGCTAACGCACAGTCGCCAGACCTTGTCAGCGCCGCCTTTTGATTAGATCCACCGAGTATCCCTCGTGGTGTGTCGACGCAAGTCCACATCAAGACTGGTGGTGTGATGTCATGTCAAGACAGATTTCTGGGCACCCTCCACATCTGTGATGGCCATACCTGGCATTCATGGCCACAGTCAGCCGAAAAACACTGGACGGTGGGTGGCAGACCGTTGTCTCCCAGGCTCCAGTGCTCTACTCTGCTAGCGCCTGCATAAGCCCTGCGCTCTTTGCTCCATCTTGGATGGAGGTGGCGTGACAGGGCTCTGAAGAGTGCTTAGAACTGTGCGCGACATGCTGTTGTGGGCACATGGCAAAGGCCTCCCTGAGTGCTTACTGAGACAGAGTAGCTGCCCCGTCTAAAATGGATGGTTGGACGCAGGTCTTTGGCGGTGTTGCTAGCAAAGTCGAAGTAAAGTTAAAGTTAAAGTTCAAAGCAAAGTTGGATAGAGCACAAGTATTCCAATGGTGCCGCTGTGAGATCTGTGGTGCTACCCTCTTGCCTGGAAGAACGCATGGCACTGATGTCTGCTGGCACTTTGAGCTCAGAGCTCAGAGCCAGAAGAACCAGAGGAATACTCTCCTTCCAGGAAGTAGACAGCAGGACAAGATAAGCAGTGGGTCGAGCCTGCGGTCGAGCCCACTTATCTTGGCCTGCTGTCTACTGTTGAAGGTGGAGGCCTTTGCTATGAAAGCTGACCTCCTTTTCTTAGCCTTGACCAGTCTCTAAGCCTTCACTAAATCATCAGTAACATTTTCTTTGAGTTACCATTGCAGTGGCCATGGCCTTTTTGTCTTGCAGTTAAGGTTCACCTACCGAATGTTAAAAACTTCATCATCTTTGTCAGTAATCTCAAGGGCCTTTTAATGTGTTTGGTCATTGCCATCCTTAGAAATAAACTTGTGTTCATTGTCAGTACTGAGCTGGCTGTTTTTTTCTTCTTCTTGTTAGCCAAGTCACAGATCTTGAGTTAACGTTGACATAATTATAGGTCTGCACTAGGTGTAGACATATTTGAGCTCTATTGTTAGCTTGCACATCTATGCAAGAAGTTGAAGCACAGTCTAGCAATTATAGCAGTTGATGTGTGATTGACTAATGCTAATTGTTAATTGGCTGGAGTGAGCTCTATAAATGACAATGACTCAGCGTGATGTAGTACTAGTGCTACAAAGTGGTCATCGGCAACTTAGCTTTACACACTTTATTGTACACACTTACCAGTTGTCTGCCAGTGATTTGTGAAGCATAATACAGACCTTCAAACATGCTGCTGTATATGGTTTGAGTGCGAAGCCAATAGAGTTTTTAGTCTGCACATCCACATAAGAAGTTTAAGTACAGCTTAATAATTATAACAATTATGACAGCTACACAAATCTTTTTGAACTAGCTGAATATGGCAACACAGCTTTAAGTGGCAGTTGCAGGTAGAACTAGCTGTTTCAACTAATACGTACTTTTTAAAACTGCCTTTTTTGGAATTGTCTTTTTTGAAATTGCCTTTTTTGAAATTGCTCTTGTTGGAATTGTCTTTTTTGGAACATTGCCTTTTTTGGCATTTGTGTTTTAACATATATCTTCATATTTAATGCATGAGTAAACAGTTAACATGTAGTAATAGTTATTTTGACTTTATTACTAATTTCAAATCTCTTCAGAGTTATATTCACATGATGCCAGCGGTGCTGCACCATTTAGAGAAAGTGAAGTGCTAGTAATGATGCATGCTCCTTACAAAGCTGTTCAGCTCTAATGCCAACACCACCAACTACTCACAAGATAACGCAGTCATCGTCTAATATATCAATGGAGATACATCTTATTATCTTAGCAGCTATTACTGAAACCAACGTGCAACATGCCCTGTTACACAATTGTATCGCATGATATGAAATGCTGCTAACACTCTGTAGGTATATATACATTTAAGCTTCACAACAACTGCTTTGCTTTGCTTTGCTTATGAGAATTGAAAAGAAGCACGTCGCATGGTGAAAGATATTGCAAGTAAGGTGCAACACTAGTTGAGAAACTGGTTCACCCTATCTGGTGTGTGAGTAAATGGTTAACATATGCGAATAGGTACCTCAGCCCTGTTACCAACCTCATATCTCTTTAGAATCATGTTCCCAGGATGCTAGCACAGTGCTGTAGCATTTGGAAAAGTGAAATGCTAATGATGATGCACAGTTGGCCAATGCCAATCACCTATTGCTAAAAAAGAGCTCCGTTAATGGTAACACCTTGGGTTGACATGGTACTAGTGCCATAAAGTGCTTGTCAGCAATGTAGCTTTGTGCACCACACTTAATACCCCTACCAATTGTCTGCCAGTGGTTCATGAGGCACAACACAAACCTTTACTTATATTGAGCCTTTACCCTTTGGTTCAGCAGACAGATTCTCCTTCTCTTATGTGTAGACCCAAGCTCAGAAGGTGTGAGTTCAGTGTCAGATGCTGCCAGGCTGGCATTTTCTTCTTGAGCTATTGGTTCACTGTCATCTCTCTTGCACTTTACAGCAACTGAAATGATAACCATATCGGAGCTGCTTGACAGACTGAGATGAGCTTGCTCTGTGCATATGGTAAATGTCATTCAACAAGTTGCTGCAGAGAGATTCAATGTTCACCTGTTCTTTGGAATGGGGCTGGCTGCCTCTTAACCAAAGACTTGGGCATCTTGCACACTTTGCTCACCTTTTCCGATGCAGATCCGTTGCCAGAGGTGGATGCCTTTGCTGTGAAAGCTGATCTCCTTTTCTTGGCCTTGACCTGCTTCCAAGCCTTCACCAAATCATCAGTAACATATGCTTTATTGACCAGGATGCCACTTACAACATAACTTTGGGTGGCACCTGCGCTTTAACAGATCAGCAGCTGCAGTTTGGAGAAATAAATAATTTACCCTGTCTAGAATCTGTCAGTGATCCACAGAGCACAAGACAGTCTAGAAGTTGTAATGGTTGGTGAAGCTTCACAAACAAACCTCTTCAAACCAGCTGAGTATGACAACACGGCTCTGGATGGCACCTACACTTTAAGAGTTCAGTAGCTGTAGTTTGGAGAAACAGATGTTTTACCCTTTCTAGAATTGCATAGCACTACAACTCAGACAAGTTAAACACTAATATCGACACTGTGTTATAGTGGCTCAATGCTGGTATCTGTTTTGGTTTGGTTAGAATGTTGTCTGGTCTGTCTCACCACCTGGCTGCCAGCACCTGTATCATTTAAGGTTCTAGGGGGGCGCATTGTGCAGGGTGCTACTTGCAACAGCTGCAGATCTGGTCTACACACCAGATAAACTAGACAAGTATATCGCATGGAGTATCACTACGAAAGCCTCCAGAACACCCACAAGTGTTCAGACCTCCACATTCTAGTCTCACCCTTAGCAACGTCACCTCACCTCGCTTCGCTCGGCTCGGCTCTCCCCAACCCTAAAACCCCTAAGCTTCCACAGGTAAAGAGGTCCCCTTCAGAGCTGGCTCCAGTGCTGTAAGGCATAACTTACCTATCTGATGTGACTTACTAAAATTGTTGTGGCATAGTCAACAAAGCAATCTGGCTCACAAAGAGCTCTCTCAGAATTAGAAGTCAAAAGACTTCTCAATTCACCATTCTGGTCACCTGGACAGAACAGCATTAACTATAACAGAGGGTTTCCCTGGTCATCCAGTCTAATGAACACCTTGAAGAAGGTGTTCAATATCAATCTATTCAGAAATTGCCAGGTAGTGTTGCCATGGCTTGACTGCTTAGCCGCTAGTTGTTGCAGTTAAGCCATGTGGCAGCCAAGCCAAGTCACTGATTGGCTCTTGGCTGTTATGTGGCTTAGCTTCGGCTTGGCACGACTTGGTGGTGGCTTGCAGTCAGGTCCAGTTGTTCCAAAAAGGCAAACGCTGCATCACCTTGCTTGCCACTATGCCTCCTCGCAACCATGGAAAGAAGAGAGCTGCCAAGACCCCTCAGAAGATACCTAAGAGGCAAAAGATGGCCTCTAAGCATGTTAAGTTTGACAATGGAGCTGTTATGACCCAGTTTAGACTGTCTGGTGCGCTTTTTTTGAGCTTTTGTGCAGTTTGATATTGTCTGCTGATAACATCTTGAATTCTGTAGGTGAATTCTCATCTGAGGATACTGTCCAAGATTCTCCAGCAAAGAAGAGAGGTGGTAGAAAAGGTCCAGGAGTTCAGGATGTTGCTGAAGGAGAGGTGCTCATGGCATTCGTGTTGCCCCGAAGAGATCGTGCCAATCACCAGCATGATCCAAGTGGGGAGAGCTCGATAAACAAGTGCATGGTGACCAATACTGCAAATTGCTATGCTCTAATGTTTGGATCCTTGTAGATCTGTTCCAGTTGCTGATAGTCATGAATACATCAATATTGATATTGCAGATGACTCTGAAGACTCGCCTACTAGTCTAATGCCAGCTGCAGGCTCTTCATGTGATCTTCTGCCTGCTCCTGCCACCTCAACTCGCAAGCCAGCAGGCCCTCCCAATTCACATGTTGCCGGTCAGCGTCAGAAATTGCCTCATGGGCCTGCAGGCAATAGACAAGGCAAGCAAGCTAAGGATTCCTGGCCCTTCATCAAGACAGATGAGAATGGACACAAGAAATGCAAAATTTGCTAGTATGAATTTCTTTCAGCTATTTCTTTGCACTTATTTCTAAAAAAAACTCGCCATGTTTATGCATGAACAGAATCCTCATTACCATGTGTCCACCTAGACTACTGCAGGCACAGACAACCCCCGAAAGTGCTTCTGAGATGCTCATCTTGACGAGTGGGTGGAGGCATGCAATAAGGCACAAGTCAAAATCACAGCAAAGTGTGCTATGGCACAAGTCGAAGCCTGAAGGCGACGTCAACGTGGACAACCAGACGTTGCACAAGCGGATAACAGCCGGCCACAGTTCACCAAGGAGCTATTTGTAGATTACATTACTGAGTGGATTGTTGCTGACAATCAGGTGTGCTTTAAATTTACATTTTATTGTGCTTTAAATCTGAATAAATATTTGCAGCCTTTACGTGTCATTGAAAATTCACAGCTTCACAATATCTTTCTTTTGCTTCGCTCTGAGCTGCATGAGAAAGATATTCCTGGGCGGACCACTATCTGAACACGAGTTGGTGAGGCTTTCAATGAGTATCTCAAGAAGTTTAGCCAGGATATAAAGGTAAGTGGCGAAAAAATTACAAAACAATTCTGCTCTAATTCCTAATTATAGAATGCAGTTGGCAGCATATCCTGCACAATGGATATATGGACTGACCCATTCTTATCGCTGTACATGGTGGTTACTGTACACTGGCTGCAGCTTGTTCTTGAAGATCGTGGTAATGGACTTCAGCCGCAGCTTCAACTTCGTGCAGATCTTATTGGCTTTCACTGTGTCCCCTCCAGACACACCGGTGAGCATCTTGCGGCTGCATTCCTTTATATCCTGGACCGTATCAAGATCACAAACAAGGTACAGCCATTTTAACAACTTAAAATGATTAAACCACTTACTATCCTTTAAAAATATATAGATTGGCTGGATTACAATGAACAATGCAACAAACAATGACACCTGCATGGAGGCTCTTGAGCAAACCTTGCGGAAGCGTGGAATTGCTTTCGACAAGCTTCAACATCGCATTTGGTGCGTATATTTCAATAAATCAATTGCAGTTTATTGCTCAAAATAACTGTAGCTGCTTTCCACACATTGTCAACTTAGCATGCCAAAGTGTTGTTAGTGCTATAACTGAACTTGAGTATGTCAAGGAAATGTCGCAAGATTTCGAGCCAGAAAAGTTTTCACCACACAATTTTCTTGACACAATTAAACATGACCCTATCGCAACTTTATGTTCTCTCATTAGAGCAGTAAGTTTAATTTAATCTATACAAGATAGTGATTTGCCTTACCTCGATGTATAGATTTGTGCATTTGCGCTGCATCGTCAGCATTTTATGCAGATTTTAGTCAACATAGATATGGCCATTCTGCAGCTTCTCAAAGACGTTGAGACGCGGTGGTCATCAACATATCCCATGATAGATCGGGCTATTCTACTTCGCGAGGTGACAATTTATTTTGGTATACTGTATACTTTCAGGCTTATTTGTTTATAGGCAATTGAACAATTTCTCTATGGTTCAGAGTTTGCAGAACTTTGTAAGTATAGCATGAGCAATGAAGAGCGGAAAGCTTTGGAAGTATTTCATGAGATCCTTCAGGTAAGTTTAGTTTTCTTTATTTATCCAAGTAATAAATTAAACATGAATAGGTTCCACATATGTTTCAGCAGCTTTTTTCTTTAGAATCTATGCCAACACTCATTAGTGTTTTACCTGCATTTGAAGCCATGAAGCTACGCTGGCAGGAACAACAGGCAAAAGTGTCCAATGCAGCTGGAATTATTCAGCAAGGTCTGGACAAGCTTGAAGACTATCGTGATCGCAACCGCAGCTATAATGCATATATTTTGGCCACTGGTAAGCACAGCTTTAAAGCTGCTAAAATCTAAAGCTAAGTTTATTAGTCATCAATCCTGCATGTAAGCTGGAGTGGTTTGAGCAAAACACTTCACCAGCAGAAGCAGAAGCAGCTGCAGCAAAGAATCTATTTTTAGCTGAGGTGCACTTTTACTTATATTTTAATCTTCATTTCTCTCTATATTAACATTCATTTTACAGATGCGCAAGTATAAATCCAAGATGGCTTCTTCGGCCTCAGCTCTGGCAGCTGCAGTGATTCAAACACAGCAGCAAAAGGCCTACAACATTTTATTCAAGGGTAAAGGAAAAGGTCCATTAGCTGAGCGTTCAGTAGAACAAGAGTGGTGTGCATACATTGCAGAGCCCACAGATGGATTTTTGGATGCTATTACATACTGGAAGGTGAGTGTACACTTACTGAAACTTGTGCCATAATTTTTCTCTCCATTTTCTTCATTTGTTTCGAAATATTGATTTATTTTCACATTTTAGGCATCTCAGACCAGGTTTCCAACCATTTATGCCATTGCAATGTATATTCTGCCTATCCAAGCCTCTACTGTGCTCTGTGAATGTGTCTTCTCATCCAGAAAGATAACAGTCACAGACCAGCGCAACAAAATCGGTGGAGAACTCGTGGAAGCACTGCAAATTCTCAAGTTCAAGTTCAAGCAAGGCCATTCTCTGTCTTTCACACATAGTTTGGACATTGGAGAGGAGCTCAAGAACTTGGAGAGGTGTGCAGAAGAGTCTCCAGAGGAGATCAGTTTATATTTAGCATCATTCAAGTAGGACAAGCAATGTTACGATGAATTCCATGGTACCGGTGTGAACTACCTTCCTTTTTGGGAGGAACGGTCCGCTGCAAGCCACTGCTCAGCCATAGTCGCTTATAGTTAGTGTTGCCACGGCTTGGCTCAAAAGCTGCTCAGCTGTTAAGCCAAGCCACGTGGGAGCCGAGCCAAGCCGTTAATCGGCTTATGGCTTACCAATGGCTTGGCTCAGTGCGGCACAGCTTGGCTCTGGCTCATAGCCGGTCAAGCCGTCCCGATAAGGAAAGGGCCCTGTTGCCTTGCTTGCCACCATGCCCAAAGCTCGCATCCAAGCCTCAGGAGAGGTAAAACGGTCTGCGGCTACCCCTAGCAGGATATCTAAGAGGCGCAGGACCACTACAAAGCACGTTGAGTTTGAGAATGGGGCTAGTATGACTCAGTGGAGGGTTACAGGTGCGCATTTTTGAGATTCACCTGATCTCATCTCATTCTCTGTGGTACTTCAGATCTTGTCTTTGAAGAGCCTGTGCAGGAGTCTCCAATGAAGAAGAGAGGAGGGAAGAAGGGGCCTGGAACACAAGATCTGGCTGAGAGAGAGACATTGATGAAGTGGGCAATGCCAAAGAGAGGCCGTCATGCACAGCAGGCTGCACCAGAGCTCTACACTAAGAATGAGAAAGAGGCACAAACTCCAGAGAAACTAGACAGGTGCGTAGCTGATTATATATATGACAGCTGTCTAATAACTGGATTTCAGACCATATGTAAATTGTGACACTGTAGCGCAGTCTTCGCACTCTGAAGATCATGAGTCATTCGACTTGTCTGCTGTTGCTGGCAGTGACAGCTTGCCTACCAGTTCTATACCCTGTGCTGGTCCTTCGCAAGGACAAGCTCCATTTCTCATCTCCACAACTCCACGTCGGCCAGCAAGTCCTCTGACTTTGCCTATCGCTGATCAACGCCGGAAGTCACTAGCACATGGACCTGCCGGCAACAGACATGGCATGCAGGCAAATGACATCTGGCCCTTTCTCTACACAGAAGAAAGTGGGCGAAAGCTGTGCAAGTTCTGCCTGTGCGATTTTGTTTATTTATTGAATTTTGCACAATTTGCTAAATATATTAATTAGACTTGCAAAGCAACAAGATCCAAAGCACCAGGTGGCAGGCTGGACCACAGCAGATACAGACAATCCCCAGCAACATTTCCATGACAACCACATTGATGCCTGGGTTACTGCATGTGACAAAGCAGGCATCAGAATCACAGCAAAGAGCGCTACTGCTTATGTCGAGGCCTGGCGCTGTCGCCAACATAGAGAAGCAGGTTCAAATGTGCAGCACGATGATGGCCGGCCTCAGTTTAGCAAGGAGCTTTTTGTTGACTACATTGTAGAGTGGATTGTCACTGATGATCAGGTAAGAATTTGATTGCAGTTTTTTTCACACTTTAGATCTGATTAAATATTTGCAGTCGCTGAGTGTTGTTGACAACCCAAGACTACGCAACATCTTTTTGTTATTGCATTCTGAGCTACACGACAAAGATATTCCTCACCGCACAACCATTCAGGCTCAAGTTGGTGAGGTTTTTGAAGAATATCTGGATGAGCTCAGTCAGGATATGCAGGTAAGTGGCAAAAAACTTCCAAAAGAAATAGTTTAAATTCAGTTTTTTTCTTCAGAATGCAGCTGGGAAAATCTCCTTCACCATGGACATGTGGACAGATCCTCATCTGTTTCCATACATGGCAGTCACAGCACATTGGCTGCATCTGGTTACTGAGAACACTGGCAATGGTCCTCGTCCGCAGCTGAAGCATCGCGCAGATTTTATCGGCTTTCATTGTGTCCCTACCAGGCACACAGGTGAACATCTCGCAGCTGCATTTCTTCATATTCTGGATCATATCAAGATCACTTATGAGGTACGTTCACTTATTTGCATAAATGTTTTATTTTAACAAAAAATAACCAGATTGGCTAGATCACCATGGATAATGCTAGCAACAATGACACCTGTGTGGAAGCTCTTGAAAAGGAGCTAAAGAGGCATCAGATTGTATTCGACAAACTTCAGCAACGCATTCGGCAAGTAATTGTTTGAAAGATTCATTATTATTTCTCAATTGTTTTCAGATGCTTCCCGCACATTGTCAACTTGGCATGTCAAACGGTTCTCAGTGCTATGACTAAGCTTGAATTTGCGAAGGAGTCATCACAAAACTTTGAGCCTGAGGCTTTTTCTCCAGACAATTTTCTTGACACCATTCATTGTGATCCGATTGCAACGCTGCGTACTCTTATACGAGCAGTAGGTCTTATATAATTTTACAGCATTACTGTCTAACTTAGAACTCTTAAATATGTGCATCTTCTTTGCACAGACAACACTTTGCAGATATTTTGGAATCAATGAAAAGAAGTGCTCTTCAGCTTCTCCGAGATGTTGAGACTCGCTGGTCTTCAATGTATCTCATGATTGACAGAGCCATTCTTCTTCGTGAGGTATTTTTTTGTACTAACCATGAAAAATCTATGTGCTAAGTTATTTACAGGCAATTGAGAAATTTCTCCATGGGGCTGAGTTTGCAGATCTGCGCAAGTACAGCCTTAACAGTGAGGAGTGGAAGGCGTTGCAGATATTTCCAAAAATCCTTCAGGTAAGTCACATTTTTCCAAATAAAGAAATGCATTAACTAATGTTAAAACAGATCCCACATGCATTCCAGCAAATTTTATCATCTCAGTCGACTCCAATGCTCATTAACATCTTGCCTGCATTCGAGGCAATGAAGCAATGCTGGGAAGACAGGCAGACTCAGCTACCACATGCTGCAGATATAATTCAGCAAGGTTTGGACAAACTTGCTGATTATCGTGATCGCAATTGGGCAAGCGATGCATATATTCTGGCTACAAGTAAGGGCAATTTTATTACTGTCACCTATAATACTTACACCAGTTAGTTATCAATCCAGCTCACAAGCTGGAATGGTTTGAGCAGAATAGTTCACAAGAGAAGGTGCATGATGCAGAGAAGTTATTCTTAGCAGAGGTATTGCACTTTTTTGTTTAATTTTTCATTAGAATATTCTGCTTACTGTATAAATATTTCAGATGCAAAAATGCAAGTCACAGATGGCCTCCGCCACCACACTGTCATCTGTTTCAGAGTCTGAGACTCAACAGCAAAAAGCCCACAACCTTTTGTTTAAAACCAAAGCAAAGGCCCCAGCAGCACAAACAGTGGAAGAAGAGTGGTTTTCATACATTGCAGAACCCACAGATCCAAGCAATGATGCCCTTGTGTATTGGCAGGTGAGTACAGCTTTATTAAACCTTGCATTCTGAATTTTTTCTCTATTTTAGACTGAATTTTAACGCTTTTTTCGAAAAATTAGGCCTCAAAAGCCAAATTTCCCACTATTTATAGCATGGCAATTGACATCTTGCCCATCCAAGGCTCTGCTGTCCCTTGCGAACGCGTTTTCTCATCTGGGAAGATGACAGCCACAGACCAGCGCAACAGAATGGGCGGAGATCTAATGAAAGAGCTGCAAATGCTGAAGTTTCAGTTCAAACAAGGCCACTCTCTATCTTTCACACAGGGATTGAGCATGGATGAAGAGATCTTTGATTTGGAAAGCCTTGGAAAGCAGGAGATATACTTATATGTAGCAACATCGAAGTGAAACGGCCAATGAATTGCATATTTTGTGGTACCTGCGTGAACTACCTTCCGTTTTGGGATGGGTAGCTGGCTCAAGCCACTTGAGAGCCATAGCCGCCATAAGCCATGGCTTAGCCTACAGCTTGGCTTGACTCAGCTCAACCAAAAAAGGCAGAGCCATCAAAAGCCGAGCCAGAGCTGAGCCGCGCCAAGCCGTGACAACACTACTTTTAGTCGCAGCTGCACTGCAGCTTGACTTGACTCGGCTGATCCCAAAAAGGAAAAGCCATCTAAAGTTAAGTCACAACCAAGCTGCACCAAGCCGTGACAACACTATTGCCAGGCCAGGTGAGTACATTCAAATTATAATGCTGTTATCAGTATCTAAGTTTTATTGAACATAGTATTTGCAATGTCAGCATAGATGGCAGAAACATACTTGTAATTATGCCTACTGGTAAGTTTTTGTAGCTGGCTTGTCAAGCTGCTTATCTAGTGGTATAAAACAGGAAGTGGGAAATTTGTCACCTACCAGCTGCCAGCTATTTTAAGTAAAGGCTGTGCATTGGTTGTATGCCCATTAACTGCTCTTATGGTAACTTGAAGCAAGTGTCTGATAAAGCATTTGAAATTTTGACATCTATTTTGCAAGCAGATCAGGTTTTTCATCTACGACACATTGGAGGTATTTTGACATGTTAGATGTTTAATGGCTACGCTAATTGGTAGAAGTTGGTGCTGCCATGTTGACAGCTGAAAATAAAGTGGACCATGCTGGGGTCTTTTCAATTCTTGATAGAATGGTGCTGGGCTCTGTAGAAGAACAGAATGAAATTAAATTGCTTTATACAGCAGTAAGTTTTTTACATGTATTTCTAAGGGTTTTTACAATTTTTGTCCAGCCAGAGCAGTTGAGCAAAAATCAAAGGCTATGTTATCTGCTAATACAGCTTGCTCAAAACCAATTGCTATGTATGTGCAACTTTTAGAATATACTGTGGAATGCTTATTGTTCCTATAGCAAGAATTGTCTTAGATGAGATCCATGTACTTATGTTGGATGGCTCAGATTACTGTTATGATAGGCATGGTGGCGTGGGATATCATTTCCTCTTTCGTCTCTAACTCTAGTCTAGTAGTACTACCTTCGTCGACTCATAGAGCACAGCTTCACTGACTCACCCGCAGTTCCTTTGACTAGTAGACTAGTCTTTAGGTTAGGCTGAGCAGTAGTATAAATACCCTGCACATGTACAGTAGCACCTCAGCTTTCAGCTCCTTTGTAAATTCACGATTCTTTATTCTGCTCTAACCTCATCTGCAGATAAGGTGATTAGACAAGCTTCAGGCTTGCAAAGAACCCTCTGTCATAACATTAGCTGAAAGCTTCTCAACAAGGCAGACCTAAAACAGGTCTATGCCACGAAGAATAGTCAAGACAACTACCCCACGAGCAACTGGGGTGAACGACTGCGCCACAGCAGCACACAGACATAACCTTAGGCCTGGCGATAGGCGCGACTACAATGGATACGATGAAGGACATTGGAGGAGTTGTTTTGAACAATCCTGCCCCAACTGATACTACGCATACCAAGGAACTGTACGAGTACCACAAGAACTCGTCCTTTGCGAACCAGCACAAGAAAACTTTCTTCAAGAAAGAGACAAGCTTAGAGAAGAACAAGCCCGAGAAATAGCTCAACAACCACTATCCACCAGCGTACCACCATCCAGACCACATACACCACACCCGTACGATCAATCTCGCAGACATAGTCGAGCACCCAGCAGGGCAGAAACCTCTACCTCTATCGAAGTAGACGACGAAACACCTGAAGTACAGCAGCAAGAATCACTTCAGGTACCAGAAATCAGACTTGAACCATTCAATATTCCCCTGCCAGACCTCGACGTACCCATCCCACCTGAACGACAGGAAGAAATATACGAAGTTACTAGACAACTTCAGACCATCTCCACAATGGCGGACACAAATGCTCTCATGGGAGAAATGATCGAGGCACTTCAAAAAGCAAATGAACATGCCTCTACCCCGAAGCCCCAGAAATTCGATGGAACACAGCAAATTCAGAACTTCCTGAAAGACTGCGACATCTACTTTAAAGGCAAAGACACCACCAAGAATGCAAAGAAAATTCTCTTTGTACTCAACAATACCGAGAAGAAGCCGCACGACTGGTGTCGCACTAAGTTCGATGAATATGAAGCCAATACAGCATGGCCTACATGGACCAAATTCAAGGAAGACTTCGCCAAAGCCCTCCAAAAGATGGATAGCGAAGTCGACGCCATCGTAAAACTCGACAGAATAATGCAAGCAGACTTCGACTCAGTCAACGACTACAACGTCGAATTCAATCGACTTGTCAAAGAAGCCAAGTATGGCAACCCGAGTACAGATACCTACCTCCAACGCATCTATACAGGAGGACTCAACGCTGATCTTGTGAAAACTCTCATTAAGCGAGAAACGAAGCCAAAGACACTCCAAGGATGGCAAGAAGAAGCCCTCAAGTTGGACAATGCAGAAATAGAATGGAACAAGCTCAGACGAGGAAGACAAAGGGGAAGGGTCGACAAAACCACCTCTCACTCTGGAGGAAATGGAGGAGGAGGAAGAACTCAAGAACACGATCCCAATGCTATAGATGTCGACGCCATCTCCCGAGACCAAACACGTTGTGAATAATGATGCTTCAATTGCGAGGGCAAAGGACATATTGCTAGAAACTGCCCTTCACCCAAGAAACCTCAGCAACATGACCAGCAAGGAAGATACCAACCCAATCGCTCGCAACAGGGCAATCACCCTCAGATGAATCAACGCTCTGGACAGTGGAATAAAGGAAATTCCACCAATGTCCGCACTACAATGGTCAAAGAGGAACCCAACCTCATTGATCTCGACAATGAACCCAGAGACTTGGTCAAAGAAGTAACCAAACTCTCTCAGAACGAGGCTAAGGATCTCTTTGCCCGTTACCTTAAAGCTAATCCGGATTTTCATGTCTGAGAGTTGCCCCAATGTCAACACCTCTTAGAATATCAATTTCCTCTGTATTAATTGCTGACATGCAATCAAAATCGATGCATATTCCCATTTAAATCAGAGCGAAAGAAACCGTTGGAAAAGTCCTTGCACTAGTCGACTCAGGAGCACAAGGCAAATTCATCAATTGATGAACAGTCTGGGAGTTAGGACTACAAGAAAAACCCTTGAAAAGACCAATCAAGGTATTCAATGTCAACGGAACCCTGAACAAATTGGGGTTCATTCGCAACCAAGTCGAAATCGACATGAACATGGGAAACCAACATACCAAAGAAAGGTTGTTAGTTACCCAATTAAGCAAACAAGACATCATCCTCGGCATGGACTGGTTACAACAAAGAAACCCATCCATCAATTGGAGCAAAGACACTTTAGACTTCTCAAAAAGAATTCAAAGATGTGAAATCGAAGAATTACCGGATAATGAAGGCAGAAGCATCAATACTCTCCCATCCAACGATTCAGCACTCCTCAGAGAAGAAACAGAGTTCACGGTCACTATCTCAGAAGGAGGACAAATACCCACTAAAGGAACAGAAGAAGCCGCAGGACTTAATCTCTATGCAAGCAAAGACCAGAAAATATCACCTCAATCTCGCATGCTTATCAAAACAGGACTAAGCGCTCAAGTTCCCGAAGGAACCTATAGACGAATTGCACCAAGAAGCAGACTGGCAGTCAAAGGAATCGATGTAGGAGCAGGAGTAATCGACAGAGACTATACTGGAGAAATCTGCATACTCCTCATCAACTCCAAAATCGAAGAACACAAGGTGGTCAAAGAGGATCGAGTGGCACAATTAGTACTCGAACGAATCTCTATGGCAAAACCCAAGCAAGTTGAAACCTTACCAGAAACTGAACGAGGATCAAAAGGGTTTGGATCCACCAATGCCAAGACAATACAAGAAGCCAGACCAGAAGAGATAGCTCGACATGTGTTGCATCTTCTCAGAACAGGAGCACCTCTGGACCGGTCTATACACATCTCTTCAATAATCACCTCGGAATCCATCGTACAAGCGGAGCAATGCGAAGAAGAAGACTATATCCTCGCATACACTCCAGGAGACTCCTTCATCTACACCATGCGCACCGGACCAGACAAAATGGCCAAAGACATAGCATCCTTATGGATTAACGCGAAAATCAACCTGGCAATGGCAATGGCAATAGCACAACAAGCAACAGAGAATTTAAAGAACGAACTACCAACTGCATACCAAGACTATCAAGATGTCTTTGAGAAACAAGCAGCTGAACGGTTTCTGGAATCAAGACCCTACGACCATGCCATCGATCTAAAACCAGATTTCATTCCTAAAGATTGCAAGATCTATCCATTATCTTCACTAGAACAACAAAAACTCGACAAATTCCTCGACAAGAATATGCAAAAAGGCTACATACGACCATTCAAATCACCAATGGCCTCACTATTTTTCTTTGTAGGAAAGAAAGACGGGACGTTACGACCATGCCAAGACTATCGGTATTTGAACGATGGCACTATCAAGAACGCATACCCACTTCCTCTCATCTCAGACCTCGTCCATCAACTCAAAGGATCTAGCATATTCACCAAGCTTAATTTACAAGCAGGATACAACAACGTACAAATCAAAGATGGAGATCAATGGAAGGCAGCCTTCAAAATGAACAGAAGACTATTTAAACCAACAATCATGTTCTTCGAACTATACAACTCTCCAGCAACATTCCAAGCAATGATGAATGACCTATTCTGCAACATGGTCAATGAAGGATGGCTAGTCATTTATATGGATGACATGCTTATCCACTCATCTGATCAAGATGAACACAGAAAGTGAACACGAAGAATCCTTCAAAGACTCTGCGACAACGACCTCTTCCTCAAACTCGAGAAATGCACCTTTGATGCATGGCAAGTCGAATTCCTCGAAGCACTCGTATCACACAACCAAGTCACCATGGATCCAGTCAAGATCAAAGGAATATTAGACTGGCCAATACCGACTACCGTCAAACAAGTTCGAGGATTTCTAGGATTTGGCAATTTTTATCGACGCTTCATTGACCACTACTCAAACATTGCCAAGCCGCTCAATGAACTCACCAAGAAAGACAAGCCGTTCAATTGGACAGACGAATGTCAGAAGGCTTTCAATATGCTGAAACAATGATTTACCTCAGTGCCTCTTCTATTGATGCCGGACGCCACAAAGCTGTTCCTCATTGAAGCAGATGCCTCGCTCTTCATGACAGCAGCAGTACTCTGACAACAAGACATCAACGGAGATTGGCTACCGGTTGCCTACCTATCCCAATCCTTCAACCCAGCAGAATGCAACTATAAAATCTACGATAGAGAATTACTGGCAATAGTACGAGCACTCGAAGCATGGCGCCACTACCTAGAAGGAAATCCCAGTGCCACGAAGATCCTCACAGATCACAAGAACCTCACGTACTTCCGGTCTCCACAGCGACTGAATAGACGACAAGCAAGATGGCAGCTATTCCTATCCCAGTTCAATTATGAACTCGAACACCACGCAGGCACAAGACTTATTCAAGCAGACACAATGACAAGAGCCTCTGCACCAGCTGATGCAAAATTTGATAACACAGAAGAAGTGTTACTACCCGAGAACAAATTCATTGCCACAATTCTCCTACCAGACTCATTATTCACAGAAGATACAATTATCTCAAATATCGAAATTGAAGCACCCACTTCAAGTGTGGACTATAAATTGGCAGAAGATATACAGAAACATCTCACACACCACAATATCGCTGAACAAGTATAATCAGCACGACTAGGAAAAACAGATGCATTTCCTTTCAAGTCAAACACGGATCAATGGGAAGAAAGAGACAGACTACTCTTCTACAAGGAACGATGCTACATACCAGCAAATCAATTACTCCGACGCCACATCGTATCCTCCTATCATGATTCCTCTGGAGCAGGACACCCTGGACAATGGAAAACAGGAGAACTCATCCGACGCGAATATTTCTGGCCAAGCATGCAAACCTTCATCTCAAATTACATCCGAGGTTGCACAAAACGCCAACAAATGAAGGTTAATCATTAGCCAACTATTCCACCTCTCCAACCAATCAAATCTACTTGACGGAACTGTCCATTCATGTTCACAACCTGTGACTTCATCACCCACCTCCCAGTGTCTCACGGATATAATGCTCAAATGGTCGTGGTAGACCATGATTCTACGAAGGGGGTAATTCTTTGGCCTTGCACGGAGAAAATAGACGCGCTAGGCATAGCCAAACTCTGCCATCAATACGTCTACTGAAGATTTGGACTACCAGATGTCTTTCTCACAGACCAGGGTCCGCAATTTGACTCTCAAGTCATGAGAGAATTGTGGAAGCTAACCAGAGTACAAGGACGAATGAGCACTGCATACCATCCTCAGACCGACGGTCAAACGGAACGAGCCAATCAAGAGATAGAAGCATACATCAGAATTTTCTGCCAGAACAATCCGCACAGCTGGGCACAGCTTCTTCCCGATATGGAAGTGGTGTTCAATAATCGAGAACACAGCATCACAAAGCATTCACCATTCTATCTCATATATGGCTCACACCCAAGGATCATTCTCACAGCCTTTCCCAAGACCAAGGTTCTGTCAATACAGCAATGGCTTCTAGAACGGACTCGTGCACACGAAGAGGCCCACGCTGCCTTAGACCAAGCACAGCATCACATGGCCTCAAGAGCTTACAGGAAGTTTTCACCATTTCAAAAGGGTCAGAAGGTCTGGCTTGAAATGACAAATTTCCAAGATGGTTATCCCTTCAAGAAACTTGCACCCAAACATCAGGGACCACTCAGAATCAAGGAGGTTTTAGGACCTTTGGTATACAAACTCAATCTTCGAGGACAGCGAAAACTTCATGATGTCTTCCACACCTTGCTTCTCACCCTGTATCATGAAACCGAGCAGCACGGCCCCAATTTTATAGAACAGCCTCCAGAGATCATCAACAGCCACACAGAGCATGAAGTCGAGGCGATACTCAATCACAAGACATCTTATGGCTATGTCCAATACCTCGTCAAATGGAAAGAACAGCCACAGGCAGAGAACTCCTGGGAACCCAAGTCTCATTTGAAGAATGCCCAAGATATTCTAAACACATATAAAAGAAGGCATAACTTGCCTATTCGTTCTCCAGCCAAGACAACCCCAGTCGCAGATACAACCAGTTCCAAGTCTCAAAACCAGCCTCGCCTATCTACAACACAATGTCTTCCACTTGCGCCACCATCTTCGAGTGTGTCCCTGTCTCCACCCTCGCCGAGTCCACCTCGCAGATCCACATTCAAAGCCCTTCCTCCACCAACCTCCCCAACGTCGAGTACACCTACGACACCGATGTCTCGGACAACAACTCCTACTACGCCCCTGAAATTGCCCAATCCCGTGCACTCACTCCAGTCTCCCACGAGAACACCATCTCCGTCGACAAAAACTCAGAGTCCCACTGGGACTGGAGCAATGCCAGTGCGGAAGAAATTGAGCGAAAGTACCAGGAGACCACCTACCTCCAGCGAATCACCGAGATTCGCAACAACTACAGCACCATCAAGCTCCTCATGCAACTTGCCCAGGAACAGGACAATGCCACGAAGATATTTGCAAGGACTGTCACGAGCTTCCACGCTCTCAATGAAAATTTCACCGACACTCATCGCAACGCTGCAGACCTGGTACACATCGACGACGAAGGGCTTACAAGACTCAGGACACAAATCGGAAGGACAAACACGGAGCACCTAGAAGCATGGAGGGATTTTGCCAACTATTCAGAAACGCACCCATCAGCAGCTCGCATCGTTAACACCGCCCATCGCTATCAATTCGGGCCTTCTATTCATTTGCCTACCTATTCAATGACTTTGAACCCATGCCCTCCGCTACACCAACCCACTCTCAACCGCTATCCAAGCGCATCACTTCCTTGTCATCCAGCCAGTCCTTTCAGTTGGCCAACCAGTCCTTTCAGTTGGCCAACCAGTCCTTTCGGTCCTTTCAGGACCAGCCATCCTCTTCGCAGAACTCAGCGTCTCCTCCATCATATGAGTCCGACAGCCACCTCTCCACCAAGAAGTTGGTCCGTTTCATTTCCAACAACAAATCCCTCGACACCATCGATTCCGGATGGATGTCTCCGAGCGCTCTCTCGGATTGGACAACTCCTGCGAAGGTTTCACGGAGGCAGCTCAAGCGCGAACGCCACCGCCACAACAAACAATCAAAGCCACTCATAGTCATCAAGAAGGCTCTCGAAGAGGCAGTCGCAGAAGTTCAAGAGGAGATCTGGGCCCTTAACTAATTTCAACCATTGCTCGAAGGTAGATTGGGGGGTAATGTTATGATGGGCATGGTGGCGTGGGATATCATTTCCTCTTTCATCTCTGACTCTAGTCTAGTAGTACTACCTTTGTCGACTCATAGAGCACAGCTTCACTGACTCACCTGCAGTCCCTTTGACTAGTAGACTAGTCCTTAGGTTAGGCTGAGCAGTAGTATAAATACTCCGCACATGTATAGTAGCACCTCAGCTTTCAGCTCCTTTGTAAATTCACGATTCTTTATTCTGCTCTAACCTCATCTGCAGATAAGGTGATTAGACAAGCTTCAGGCTTGCAAAGAACCCTCTGTCATAATAATTACCGGTATGCAAAGCTACTGCTTATATATAATTGAATTAATATAAGTTCTTTATTAGCCCTGCATATCTTGAGCTTATTATGATGCAGCTATTCTGATGTTTTCCTGCAATGATTAACAGCTTTTATACATGATAGCCTTTTATTAGATCTCTTGGAAATATATCCTTTATTGCACTCACAGCAACACTACCCTTATACAGCCTTGCACAGTTTATGCAGTGTCTCTCTATCAAGTCATTACTCAATGATAAAGGTATATACATTTTATAACATTATAACAAATGTTTTACTAAGTTCTTTTTTTCTATATAGCCATATTGCAAAAAGGTGGAACATATAGCTAGCTGTTATCACTTATTAACAGTTTATTAGACATTAGCAAGATGTCAACTCTTCTCTTTCATGTTCTAATCAATCGCGCCAACCTTGCATATACAGTTGATATCAAGACAACTGGTAAACGAACAAACAGTTTATATTGTTATATTCTAGACAAGTACAACAATTGCTTGGGAATTATCTACTGCTTTACTCAGAAGGTGAGTATTAACTAAAATAGACTTCAAAAAACTTACTGTTATTAAGAAACTATTACTCTCGCTGAAACACTAAGCCATGGTTCAATCACAGCTAGGCCATATCATGCTTCTTTATCGAAGCAGGCCAAAGAGGAAGTTCATACAAAATGGAAAAACAATGAAATCAATATTGTTGTTGCAACAACTGGTATATAAAATCTAGCTTTAATTGGTGCTATACAATGCTTATAATTTACAAAGCTTTTGGCCTTGGCATCAATAAAAATAGCATTAGGTTTGTTATCCATCTCAGCGTAAGTTTGTTCAGTTATTTTTTATATGAATGGTATTAAGCAATATTTTTGTTTAGCCACCAGTAAGCAAATCGATATGACATTGATTTTTACTAATTTTATTTTAATTTAGCCAACTATGATTAGACTTGTTCAAGAGTTTGGACGAGCTGGACGAGATAACAAAAAAGGGGCATGCACTATTTTTTACTGCCCTCAAGATGCAGTCAATATAAGCCGTGCTGCTATTGATACTGATGATAAATTGCAAGCTTGTAAGCAATATCATTAACACTTTTAATTAGTCTGGGCTAATACATAAATATAGGGCATCAAGTCATTGTCTATTGTCATAATATGGAGACATGCAGACAGATACCACTTGCAAGGTAGATAAATCTTTCATTTATAAAGCTCAAGCTTAATAGCCTTTTAGACACTTTGATCTCTCAGCCCAAATTTCTTGGCTTGCCAATCAAAACACACCACCATGTGCTCTTTGTGATAATTGCACCAGAAATCCAAAGACTATTGATAAGCAACATGTCACTTTGGATATTTACTCCATTTTGAAGATTTTACAACAAGTGGAACATCAACAATGTTTCACTACTCTTTGTAAATTTGCAGAAGCAGCTCGTGATTCAGAATTAGTGGATTTTGATCCCAGGCATACTTATCCACCTATGCCAAACAGACACTCTGGAACTGTCAACATCAAAATAGCAACACAGCTGCCAAATACTAAAAAAAGAGCAGTGGACAGATTACCATTGGTAAAAAAGACTTGCTTGTTTAACTTTATGAGGCAAACTGACCTCCATCATTCAGATTGTCCAATGGATCTGTGTTAGCATGATTCTCCAGAGATACCTCAAGGAAGACTTTCAGCCTGCTCAGCAAGGCACTCAGACTTATGTTTACCTTGCTCTTGGACATAAAGCAGAGCAGCTCATCAAACTCAGTCAAGCTGAAATAGAAGACTCAGTGGACAAAATTGTCATTAGGCCCCTTGCAGTAACCCGTGAGTTTGAAAACTTGCGCGAGTTCCGGCATGCCAGCCCAGTCACTCCGCTGTCACTTGCACATGTAATTCCGCTTAGTCAAAGTGATACCCTCCGTCTGCAAGCAAGTCTCTGCCATCCGAGACAAGTTCCTGCTGTATCCATAGCATCAGCTAGGGTAAGACCTAGGGAAACCCTTATGGCCTGCGCTGAACAGTGAAAAATGCGCAAAGTCCTGCCTTTGAAGCTCTCATTACTCATCTTGACCGCTGTTATTTCCAGGCTTGTCATTTCTTTGCAGCAGTACTATTTCGGGGGACCATACCATAATTTCTGCACTCACCAGCCTCAAACAGACTTAGGATCTGCTCCCCGCCATGCGCAATGCAGCGAAAGGTGCTTTCGCAGCTGTCATGTGTAGTCACAGACTTGTCACTTATTGGTCACACTAGCACTTGGGTCTGAGTTTGCAAACTCACGGGTTACTGAAAGGGGTCTTACACTTCCTGTGCTCAAACCCACACAAACCACCAGTGACTGACACATATGGAGATAATGTGGCATCTGGCCCTAGTGCCCCATTAAAGCGCCAACACCACACTTCTACAGCTGCGCAGCTACAGCCGGACACCGACAGTGATGTGGAAATTATTGAGCCTTCTTCTCCATCAAGATATTATTTCTGATCTCAAATGCATGCAAGAAAAAGGGCGAGAATGACAGCAGATGATGAGCAGAGAGTGATTGAGATCTCATCAGACTCAGAGTGAAGGAAGAGATTCTTGATAGGCACAGGCAAACAGCTAGGAACAGAAAGTAGCCCAGGTGTATCCATGCTAATGAGCAATGTACATAAATCAGCATTATATGCAGACTGGACAAGGCAGTGACTGAGCTACCAGAAATGTAGCCATATTACCAGCCTGTGCTGTAGGATTAATGCATTAAAGCACTGCAATGACTTATGGCTGTATTGCATTAATTCAGAGGACTTGCAGGGAGGGGAAGTTCTAATGCATTAATTGCTGCCTCTTCTAGGCCATTAATAAGAGAGTTAGCTTTAATACAACATATATAGAGGGTGTTGGCATCATTTGGGTTTGAAATGTAGGTATCTGACAGCTTACTAAGCAAACAAGCTTTGACCAAGTTTAAATAGCAATATAGTGAGCCTTCGAATAGAGCACAATATAAAATAGCTTAGAAAAACATATGCTATATTGGGAAGATAATATGACATACCGCATTTGGGCGCTTATTTTCGTTTTTGGTCAAAACATGCAAAACATATGTTTGAGCAAGTTTGCTATATAGAACATATGTCAAAACACAATATTGAGCCTGCTATATGCAAAATATTTGCTGGGAGCCAGCGAGTTTTTGGATATAAATGGTAGTACTCTCAGATTTGAAATAAGTGCCCACCGTGGGAATCTAGCTTTTGCAGAGTATTCCACAGCTCTCTTAGCTTTCTCTTTAGAAGAACCTTCAGGGCAAGTAGTAGTATAGATAGTAATACACCATATGAGTATATACACAGATTTGTAGGGCCTTTGATGACCTCCACATCATACTGTGTTCTAAATGGTGTTCAAACTTGGAAAGGGGCACCAGAAACAGATCTTCCTATGCCTTCTATATACCTTGGAAAATATGCGGATAGTCCTCAACATATGTATATATGTTCTAAAAGTGTGGGGAGAGAACCAGAAGAGCTGGGAAGCATGATGAAATGTACACAAAGGCTCAAAACGCTCAAAATGCGAAGACATTCAAGCTTGTTCACTCTCCTGTGCTCTTTATACATGCTGTAAATTTGTACAAATATTATATACACTGGCTCTATGCTGAGGAAAAATATATAAAACTTTTTGGAGCCTTTCTATTTATAGAGAGAGCCAATATACACCTTTCAATGTCAAAAACATCGAAATCAGACCTCAATACACCACAAATGTAAGCCTACTAGAGCTTGCAGCTTAAATGACATCCATTCCAGCTAGAAGTATGCTATTCAAACATGTTGTAACCCTCTCAGGTGGTGATCCATTTCATACCTATGTTGTGGAAGCCAGGCACTCACTTGTGCCAGTTTGATGCTTGCAAAGTGCTCAGAATCTCATCAGCATGTCATTCCCAGCTTAACCAGTGCACTACATCCCCAATACATGTCCTATGGACCTAAAAATTTGTACCCTACTGTTTTCCTATACCAGGAATCGATTGGGAGTAGTCTGATTATCTGAATCTAAGCCATTGAGTTTGCATGAGGCAAATTGTGGTCAAAACAGCTAAAAAGCGCCCGTTTTCCACAATCAAATATGTTAGATTGGACAGGTTCCAAGGCACGGGATCAAAAAATGAGTATGTGCGTTTGATAATAGGCCCCAAACAAACCCTCCCAGCATAAGAAAACCTGTGATCTGCCACTTTTTTATGTAGAATCTTCGCAGCTTCTGTAGAGGGTTACAGCATGCTACAAGCTCCCCAAAATCTTTCATATACTCCTATTCATCTCTAATATAAGTAGACAGCATCATCAGATGTGTAGCAGCTCTATAAAAGGCTCTTTACTGCATCTAGGGCACAAAAATCGACATTATAATAGGAATAATGCAATAATATAAAATACAGCAGTCAGATTCACACCAAAACATACAAACATGCTGTATATAGGTGTATATGCACAAGCTACACTATCTAAAGGTCACAGAATAGAGGAAAGAGCAGCAATTGAGCAAGGAATGAGTCCCAAAAGCGAAATTGATGGAGTGGCCTCATTGGGCGCCAGTAAGCCCGGGTGCCTGGCAGCAGCTTTGTGGCACCCTTGTGGCACTTAATGCGCCAGTTCCACCCTTTGGCACATCAAAAGGCTCTCAAACTCGCAATTTGTTGGGTATTTTGCGTTTTTCTCCATCAATATTGAAGCACGTGGTGGCGCGTTTGTACTGTTGTAATCCCCTAATTGTGCCGCACATTCCTGTCAAAAACGAGAATAGGCGCCCGTCATATATCGCGCAACATATTCCATATTAGGTAGTCTCTCAAAACACAGCTATATTTGCAACATTTGCTATATTTGATAGTTTGCTTGCTTGCTTCAGATACTCTTAAATATCTATATTTCAAACCTGGATGATGCCAACACTATATATATATATATATATATGTATGTTCTATTAGAGCTAACCCTTTTATCAATAGCCCGGAAGAGGCAGCAATTAATGCATTAGAACTTCCCCTGCAAGTCCTCTGAATTAATGCAATACAGCCATGAGTCATTGCAGCACTTTAATGCATTAATCCTACAACACAAGATGATATCACCCTTGTGAGCCTAGACAGCATTGTTAGCAAGCAGCATGCACAATGTCCCATGTTCCAAGGCCAGCGTGGGGCAGGTATTTCTGATTGCACTCGTAGCGTAGTGTGATGTGCGAGCAAGCAACTTAGCCTTGCTCTATTCCATCACTAGTGGCCTCAACCGTCGATGCACAGAGCTGTCAAAAACACTGGCGTAGCATGTCGAAAAGATTGTGTCCACTTCTTGTTGATGTACGCGCATACAGACCATTGAGCCTTCATCAGGTGGCTTTAAGGTGAGCAACGTGCCCATGACTAATAGAGTGAAGCCTCTTCTTGGCGATTCGCAAGGCAACAAATTTCTTTAGATATACACCCGAGACATTATAGCTACAGCAGTAGTAAGTAAGATATATATATATATATATATAGCTATATTTAGATGTCCTTTCTCCTTGGCAGAGACCTCTTTGTCAGCTTGAAACCTTCCAGCCACGCCTTTATCGAGGCCAAACCACGCTGCTGCACAGCGAGAACCATCGGATCAACAGCTCCATTGTCGCTAATGAGGTCCAAGCAGTGGAAGCCGTTGCCAACAGCAATTGGCTGCTTCGCAGTGCTGACAGACGTTGTGCCATCCGTGGAGACAGTCGCTTTGTGCCAAGGATCACCTACAAAACGTGAGATTAGATGCGTTCAGAAAGGGTAGAAAACACGTAGAAGGCATACATTGGCCATTTGCAAGGAAGAGGCAGGTGGTTGATGCTGATGTTCCAGCCCTTGTAGGCGGAATTGACAGATTGCACATTCGGCACCAGAGGCTGGCTGAAGGCTTGTGGGAAGAAGTAAGTGCACTGCCGCTAAAGCAAGATATTAGTTTTTACACGAAATATAGGATGATCCCGAGAACACAAACCTCGTCATAGCTCAGTTGAATGAGCCTCGTTACGACTGTGAGGTGATTCTCTGGTGCACCTTCCTGGAGGAACCCGACCTGATTGCAATTGTTCAAAGCTCAGCACATAGACATTCTGGACTGAGAAGTTCACGAGACTTACATGATCCATTCTCAAGACCTGTTATCATTGCTGATTGAGTCGTCAGTGAAGACTGACTGCGTGGGG